TCCCACACCCAAGCCCAGTGAGGGGTTACTATCAGGGCACCCTGGAGGGGATTCTGAACTATGTTCTTGTAGGTGGGACTCAGAGAGAGCTGACTTCAGCCTTTGAAAGGCTAGAGCAGACTGTGGACGCAGGTCTCTTTCCTGCCCGGAGGGTAGAGAGAGGAGGCAGATGGCCTCTGTGAGGTCAGAGGTCAGACACAGCTGCTGGTCGGTAGGGGAATGTTGGGGCAGGTGATGTGTGGGGGTCCAGAGCTGGTCTGGGCTCAGCTTGAGCCCTATCCAAAAGGGCCTAGAGGGTAAGGGCACTTTAGCAGACAGCAGCTGGGAATGTGTGCATGCACTGGGGCGGCAGGAGGCCCTACAAGTAAGCGAGAGATCCACCTGTCTTGAGGCATGGGAATTACAAGGAAAAGGGCCCCGCAAAAAATCTGTTTGGGACCTGAAGGGACTTCCAGGACAGTCAGTTACCTAGGAGTGAGCAGAAAATTCCTAGGCCTGCTGGAATTTTCACCCAGGGGAGGAGAATATTATACCCACTCAGTACATTTAACGTGGCACTGAGGCAAAAATAAAGGTGCATTTTAAACACATCACACATCATATTTGCTGAACACACTGGATGCACTATGCTTCCCCCAAGGATGAAAGTTGATAGAAAGTTAGCGAAGGAAGTCTCCCAGAGGAATCCCATACCACATTTCATTTCAAATGGCTGAGTATATAATAATTCATGTGTACCGCTTAACTTCTGTGAAATCTGAAGACCAGGTCTCCCAGCCACACACATTCTGGCATGTGCTCAAGAAGGTACAGGGGCAGCTTGGAGGTGTCTTGATTTGACCCATTTCCATGTCTCTTTCTAGCTCCTGGCTCCCTCCACCCCTCCCACCCTCCACTCTCCACCCCGTGGGCTGAATGCTGGCTTTTTCTAGTCGGAGGTAGAAGGAGTGGCAAGTGGGTATAACTGAGAGACAGTGCCAGACAGCTGTGTAGTGAAGTGACTTCATAAAGTAAATGGGCAGCTTCCTCGAAAAACAAAGGGAAGGTTTCAGACCCTCCTGAGTGGATGTGGAGTGGCACTAAATGTTTCCGCGGAGGAGTAATGGAGTCTTCTCCTTTTGTGTCTTTTTCTAGCTCCTGTCTGGAGTCTGCCAACACACAGAACTGTTTGTTTAGCTGTGTTTTTCTTTGATCCTCCAGAACTTTTTTCCTGGCTGAAGCAAATCCAAAAACTTGCAGCCTGGGCCTGGGGAGTCAGAAGGCGATGTCTGTTTGGGGTGCAATTAGGCATGGCCGCAGGCAAAGATTGGTGAGGGACGTCTGCGCGTTCAGGCACACGACCCCTTGCACCAAGGTGCAGGAGAAACAGTGTGTGATTTGGGACTGCCATGTGAGGTTGTCAAAGGCAGAATATCAGAAACAGTCAAGATAATGCATATGAGCGCGTCTTCCTCCCAAATGTCAGACTTGCAACAAGTTTGGATTTCCTTTGCTATATAAACGCTTTTCTTTTTTTCCCTTTCCCGAGAACTGGAGATGATCCTTTAATGCCAGATTTTTCCATCTTCACGCTAAAGGCAATCTGTTCTACACTCTCCCCTTGAGTGCTGAAATGACTTCTACATGCATCTGATCGACCACACACCAACAGCATTTGCCAGACAGGAGGAGCAGAGGTAGGGATGAGCATGCAAGGAGGGACGACACACATTTTTTATCTTTCTGAGATTTAGAAAAAATGGGGAAAAGGAATAAATAAATGAAAGAAGGGAGCAAGCTACTGTGTTTATTTTCTCCCCTTGTTCATCCTCGGAGCATAGCGTAGCTAAGCGTGGGGCTCTGAAGCCAGTTACTTTAATCTCTCTGTGTCTCCATTTCTGCATCAGTAAAATGACAATAAAAATAGTATTTCCCTCATAGGGCTTAAAAAGGGGGCCGGTGCACAAGTGGTGTGATGTATTTGATAGCTATGGTTATTTCCTCATTATCTAGTAATTCCCTGGGTCTCTAGAGATGTGAGGTGGGAAAGGATAACGAAGAAAAGTTAGGTCCAACCTCTACTGGGTTATTTGTTTGTGATTTGCAGCAATATTGTATGCCAGCTACACTTAACTTTCCATCCACGTTATTTTTAGACAGCATTTGAGCTGGTTCTAATGGCATTGATGAGAATTTGAATCTTTTCACCCATTTATTCACACATCTGTGTTTGTTCATTTGTGGATTAGTTATTTGAGTTAGGGCACTAGGCAATTTACAAACCTACATACAGCAAAGGATTTTCTCCTTAAGGAATCTATAGCCATTTGGTTAGGGATATAAACGATTAATACCTAATGAGAATGACTGGGTTTGGAATATTCTGTTAGATCCCAATAAATAAAACTAATCAGAAATAAATGGGCTAGGAACAACAGTTTAAGAATAAACTCAGTTTCTGTACTAAGAGACTGATCTCTCTAGCCATATTCCTGTATACCATCCCCATCTTCCGATTACAGAGGTGGCCTCAGACCTCTCTTATTTCCTCAAATTTCCCACTATCTTCCTTTATAATGACCTGGCATTTTTCCTTCTGTTGATCAGGAGCACCCTGCTTCAAGATTAGATTGGACACATCTACTGAATGCCTGCCATGGCCTAAATACCCTATTTTAGGCAAAAACAGTTTTGAGATTACGAAGTATATGGGTGCAGACCATGATCCCATATTTCATTTTTGGATGTATTTTAGCCCACAAGTGATGCCTTTCCATTTGGCATCTGGCCTTTATGGAGATGTGTGAAGTACGTATCCACTTTCAAGAATATGGACTCTCACAGGGGACATATTTTCTCTTGAAAATGAAATAATATTTTATGACAAGGAAAATGATCCATTTTTGATTGGGTTCTTCTTATGGGCTTGAGAAAAGCTGTGCCTTCAGTGTTTTCGAACAGAAGTTTATCAGGCCTCCCAATATACTTCACTGAGACAATGAGCAGTGAAATGTCCGATGGGAAGCAAAGATGTCAATAAATGGAAAAATTACGGGACAGCCTTGGACTCTGAAAAGGGGACTTATCGTCTGATCTGCATCAGCCACTTTTCTGGGCCACAACTGTCTCATGCCAAAAATTAGAAGTTTATCAGGGTATAGATGAAATTACTTTTAAGGTTCTTCTATCCCCAAAATGACTAGGATTCTAGGTCTATGCCCTTTGGTATGGGGGCCACTAGCCACATGCAGCTCCTCAGGTCCTGCAGTGCGGCTAGTTCAAACTGACATGTGCTGTAAATGTAAAACACACACCAGATTTTGAGGCGTTAATACAAAAGAAAGAATGCAAAATATTTTGAGTATATTGGGTTAAATAAAATCGATCATTAAAATGAACTTAACCTATGTTTTTTACTGTGACTACAGAAAATTTCAAATGACATATGTGACTTACAGTATATTAATACTGGACAGCACCACCCTAGGCCTTCAAAACAAAGGGATCAGAATTCATCTTTAAGGACTTGGAGTGTTTAAAGGTCACTGTTTCAATGTTGAGGTCATCAATGCCTCTAAAAGTCAAGTTTTCAAAGTCAAAATTCTTACCCACCCAAAACTAATAAACGGTGTGGGGGCAGATATTTGCCACCAAGTTCCTCTTGAAGTTACTTTTTTTTTTAAAGATTTTATTTATTTGGCAGAGAGAGAGACACAAGCAGGGGGAGTGGGAGAGGGAGAAGCAGGCTTCCTGCTGAGCAGGGAGCCCGATGCAGGGCTCGATCCCAGGACCCTGGGAACATGACCTGAGCCGAAGGCAGACACTTAACGACTGAGCCACCCAGGCGCCTCTTGAAGTTACTTTCTGCTGAGGATCTATGGCAGTTCTACAGTTATAATATTCCACATTCAACGCCTATGATAATGTCTCAATTATCCCATAAGAGATTATCAGGAAATATACCAAAATGTTAAGAGTGATAATTTCCAGGTGGGGTACTGAGTGATTTTTGCATTCTTTTTTATTCTTCATGTTTCAGTCTTTCAACAGTAAGTCTATTAGTTTCTTCATCAGAAAAAAGCATATCTTTACATTTCAGCCTGAATAATTTTTATAAATTCTACAAATATCGCAAATATATAAAAAAGAGACCAATTTAAAAAGAAATAGTCCCAAAGGCTTTAATCTGCTTTTCTCCATTTCCAAATTTTCTGTGTGAATAGGTTACTTCTATCAAGAGAAATAATACACCTTATTTTAACATCTCAATATCCACCCACCCTTTAAACCTTAAACCAAAGTTCATTTGCATGCTGGTTTTCTTAGAACTCCCAAAGCTTTTCTCTCTCCTGTATAAGACTAAAGAGCAAATGCTTTAGGTTTTAGCTTCAATCTTGAATGCTAACACAGCTATTTAATATTTTTATAACTACCATCAACTAGAGCTGGGGTTAGAGTATATGCAGAGGATAGGGAAGAAATCCAGAAGATAGTTTAATATGCCGCCGTTTACAGGGGTATACGTTGGACTGTAAAAACACCCACCTAAAGGAATACCATTTATATCTGAGGCCTGCAGCAACAGGGGAGAGCACCGTCCTGCACGCAGCCCAGGCCAGCTTGGACAGACATGGGCACGCTCTCTCTCAAACACACACACACACACACACACACTCACACAGAGTGAGCAGGGTTGTGCCCTAGCCCAGTCCTGCTAAGCATCCCCTGCAGTTGCTTTTCTCACTCGCTCTTCACCACACCAGAGCCAGCGCCCTACCCACTTCAGGTACCATGGGGTATGACATGCTGCCGTGTGCGGGCAGGCAAGATGCACAGCCAGGTCTGCTGTCTACCCTGCTGGCTTTGGAAAGCGCTGGGCTTCTAAAGGCCTTGCTGGGTACAACTGGCAATGTTATATACTCAATTCACTTGTTTTCTTCTTGAGGAAAAGTGTCTTTTTCTAATTCCTATGTGGCGACAATCCTGTGGACTATGGCGCTTCTAAGCAGAGCAGAACTTACTGTTAGTAGTAAAGATGACTTCTCCTTCCTGCGGGGTGGGGTCTGTATCCAGGACCACCTGCAAGGCTCCCACCGTCCGGACAGCAGGGTCCAGAGTGACTGAACTTTCATTTACAGTCGTGTCGCTCGCGCCTGTGATCTGGTTGGTGGGTGGGCCTCCCAGAGATCCCTCGAAGTCGGTGGGCAAGTCATCCATGCAGTCGGCGTTGGGCTGATATGAACAGAAAAGGATCTGCCCTTAGTGTCTGTCATCAAGTTAGAGATGAAATGTTTATAGCCTAAGTCTTTTGTCTCAATGGAAAACCAAGTTCTTTACTGTCTTCCTCCTGAATCGCTTAAAAAAATTTTCCATTATAGTTTCTGTAATTAACATGAAAACAGCTTCCAAAATTTCCTTTTCAAGGGTTCCATTCAGATCTAGATATAACATTTTAATTCCAGGAGAAGCAACATTCATATATTAATATAATACTTGGGGGGGGACATGGCATTTATTTATAATGATAGCCCTTCCTTATATATGGTGTTTACTCCTCATACAGGAAGTAGCTGACTGACAGCAGATAATTAGCCCCAAAGACCCATGCATTGTTTGCAAACGCACTGATGACATGAGAGTAGAGATGGGGCACAGAATCTGACTCATGGTGAACTGTTTAGTAGAGATACACGCAAAAGCACAGGGTGAGGCTATTTTTGTTGTGGTGGTTAAACAGGAGCCAAAGCCAGCTGTAAAAAAATAACCTATTTACTTAACATGCAAATTGATCACGCGTTTGTCAAATCCTCTAAATGAAAATTTTAGAATCCTAAAACTAGATGGTGATGCCATCTAGTTTAATGATCCACTTATTGCAAGACTTCCCCTCCCTCCAGGCCCCTATCCTCAGATCTCTGGCAGCCTCACTTGAATAACATAAAAATGGGGAGCTCTCAGCTTGGCATGGGAGCCTGTGTTGGCTACTTTGTTAGACTATTCTATCACTGGGCAAAATTTTACCCTTGCCAGTTTTTCTCTTTGGTCTTAGTTCTGCCATTCAAAATTATATTGAATGTGTTTATATGTCTTCCACAAACAGCTTTTAAAATGATTTTCAGTTGTTATGCCTCCAAAATTATTTTAAAAAGATGGTGTTGCAGAGGTATGGTCTTGTGAAATCTTAAGAACAGCTATGAATTAAATTTTTTTTTTGCTTGATCTAACCATCAACATTGCCTTGAATGATGGTAATTACGTGGTTTTGCACTCTCAAAGGGTGCAGATCAGGACAGGTAGGATTAGGTGAGGAAAATTCTGGATTGGCACTGATTGAATTAACATCACAATAACTACACTGTGCTCAAAGTTCACCCAAAGGGAAAATCTATAACTCATGGGCTCACTGGGAGCACAAAGCAAGAAACTCAAAGCAGGGGACTCTCGTCCTAACTTTCCACTCTTAAACCAGTCTCCCAAACTCCACACTTGTGTTTCCAATAGTCAGTTGGAAATTTCCATCAATCTCATAAAAACCCTCAAATTCAGCTCATTTCTTCTTTCTCTGTATTTTCTTTTTGTTTCACCTTCTTCATCTCTATTGGAAGTGTGCCAATTCACTGAAACTCAAGTTATCAAAAGTCAGTTCACTGAATGACCAACCCACCATATTTACTAAACTTAGAGATCATAACACTGGACATGAGCAGGTATGTTACGAATTTTTTCCCCTCATTACTAGCCTCCCTATTTCCTTACAGTTTCCTCCCTGGTATATTCCATTCTCTTACTTTCTCACCAGAGCACTCTTCAAAAAAAAAAACAAAAAAAGTGGGGCCCTGAGTGGCTCAGTTTGTTAAGCCTCTGCCTTCGGCTCAGGTCATGATCCTGGAGTCCCGGGATGGATGCCCAGGACCCAGTCGCGCGTTGGGCTCCCTGCTCAGCGGGGAGTCGGCTTCTCCCTCTGACCCTCTCCCCTATCGTGCTTTTTCTCTCTCTCTCTCAAATAAATAAATAAAATGTTAAAAAACAAACAAACAAAAGGTATGTTCTTCTTTTCTCTTGAAGAATGAATTATAAGTTCCTTAGTGGGGCAAAACAAGGTCTCTACACCCTCACCCCAGCCAGCTTTTCTGGCCTCACCTCAGCCTTTGGAAAACACACCTATATTCGCTATCTCAGTGCTTCAGCTTATGCTGTTCCTCTGCTCAGCCCCAACCACCCCCACCCCCTTTCTTATCCCCAGGTCTCCAACTAACTGTGGTGAACTCCTAACCATCCTTCAATTCCCAGGCCAAATGTCACCTTTTCTTTTCTTTTCTTTTTTTTAATATTTTATTTATTTATTTGACAGAGAGAGAGAGAGAGCGCACAAGCAGGGGGAGCAACAGAGGGAGAGGGAGAAGCAGGCTCCCCAAAGAGCAGGGGGAGCCCGACGCGGGACTCGATCCCAGGACCCTGCGACCATGACCTGAGCCGAAGGCAGTCGCTCAACCAACTGAGCCACCCACGTGCCCCCTAAATGTCACCTTTTCTAAGTAGTGTTCCCTCCCAGGTAGCATCTTTGATACTGTGACACTGTGTAGGCATTTTTCTCCCTGTTACGGTTTATTTGTAATTATGCTTGTCTTTGTCTCACTCTACTAGTCCACAAGCTTTCTTTCCCCCCAGTTTTATTCAGATATAATTGACATGTAACACTGTGGTAGTTTAGACAACAGGATGATTTGATACACACATATATACTGGAAAATGATTAACACATAAGTTTAGTCAATATCCATTAGCCCATATAGTTACAAGTTTGTTCCTGTGATGAGAAATTTTAAGATCTACTCTCTTAGCAACTTTCTAATATACAATACAGGATTGTTACCATGCTGTGCCTTACATCCCCAGGATTTATTTATCTTATAATTTGACCACCTTTACCCATTTCACCCCCACCACAACCCCCGGCCTCTGGCAACTACCAGTATGTTCTCTGTTTCTATGAGCTCAGTTTTTAGATTCCACATATAAATGAGACATGAGCTTTTAAAGTGAAGTCACTACATTATATTGATCTTAAATTCCAAACCCTCATACAGTGTCTGTCAATTATTAGGTGCTCAGTAAATACCAATTTGAATATATTTTTAAAAAATATTTTATTTATTTATTTGACAGAGAGACACAGCGAGAGAGGGAACACAAGCAGGGGGAGTGGGAGAGGGAGAAGCAGGCTTCCCGCTGAGCAGGGAGCCCGATGCGGGGCTCGATCCCGGGACCCTGGGATCATGACCTGAGCCCAAGGCAGACGCTTAACGACTGAGCCACCCAGGTGCCCCTCAGTTTGAATATTTTATCTGAGTTTCAGTTTATTACTATGAGAAGCTGGGAATGTTAGTATTTGCCCTAGATCAATGAAGGGAGGATTTGAGAAAATGTTTTTAAAAACTGTCAAGTTCTATGCGGAGGTAAGGTATGCTATTCAAGGGTAGCAGATTATGCCACCTCAAAGTGTGCTGCTGGCATAACGATTATTTTGAGTTAAACACAGTCGAGAAGAAGCAGATAAAGACATATTATCTGCCTTCCTCCCATCTGCCTAAAAGTAGGGCATAAATTTGTAAAGGTGGCCTCCCTCCTTGTACCAGGAAGAGAACATTCTTAGAAACAGAGTCTGGGAGTTGACGCCAAAATGGATCTGTAATAACACACCTTACTACCATGCCCTTATCAGCCATTAGTTTCCCTCATATACGTACTTTCCCACAATTTGCTGCCCTACAAACTCAAGGTCTTTTCCTTTGTCTTGTCGCTTCTCTAAAAATTTGTTCTTTCATGAAGATGCTCTATATGTCCAAGTTCTGACCACCCCTTTGAGTTACTCATCCCTACACACTCCCATGTGCATGGGCAATGCACATGTGAATAAATGTCTGGTTGTTTTAGTAATCTTTTGCTAGTCTCATTTCCAGGACCCCAGTCAGAGAACCTAGGAGGGTAGAAGGGGAAAAACGTGTTTTTTTCTTCCCCTACAGTACATAAAAACACTTAAAAGCAAAACCAATTTTGTGTGGGGTGTCAGGAAAGAAAAGATTTCATGATGAGAATACTGCGCTGGTTGGTCTTTCATCCATAAGCATCTGAATACAGTCACAGATGCGATAACAACGGACTTATTTTTCAAAATGTTGACTTCACTTGTTGATATCGTTCCTTTGTTTTACCTCTTTTTTTTTTTAAAGTTATTAATTTCGATGCAGAGTATTCTCTTTTCCTTTGTGGACTAGTAGGAACAGTATTATATCTTTAACAGGAGGGGAAAACAGAAAGAGCTCATTAGCTCAATGAGACTGTTAATGGTGGCACACATGAATAATTTGGCTTAGGTGTAACATTTAATAGACCACAGCTTAGAGAAACTCACAGTTTGTATCCACTCTAAGGGGTTCATCAAATAAAAGAATATTTTGGAAGAAACCCAATTTATAGACCTCTACGAGAAATTACAGTCATAATGTTTAGCAGAGATGTCAAATACCAGCTGCAAGTGAATACGGCGCAGGTATTCAAATTCAGGTGAGCATGGGGAAACTCCTCAAATAAACCAATCCCTAAACAGCTAGGAACTTGGCAATACCGCAGCTACGTGGGATTTCTGTTCAATAACTATCATGCTATTCGTATCAGGACAACAGTGATAGGAGAAGGTGTTTGCTTCAGCTTCCAGCTTTCAACTTACATGGATTTGCCTTAGAGCACAGGGGCGCACAAGGATACTCAGTTAAAGACAACCAAACCCAAACCCAAACCAAGCCAAAAAAACCTTCCACCTGTATCTGGAGACAATTTAGTTGACCAAGATTACAACTGAGGCCTTGGTGAGCGGGCACTGTTCAAAGGAGGACCAGACTGAATTTCATAAATATGATGCTGTGACTGGCAGCCTTCAGACTCTGAAGTTCAACGATGCCACAGACATTTATTGAGAACTTGGCATATGAAAGGGAAACAGAGGTAAGCACCAACAGGCACTTATTTTTAGAGACTGACAAGCTCTTTTCAATTTTCCTTAAGAACGGAATACAAGGAATTTAGAAAAATTAGAAAACAATCTCTGTAAGCAGCATACAAAGGGTTTTAGTTAGCTATAGGAAGTATTTACTAATTGAGAAGGCTGTGAGCTTGTCCAGTGACATGGAAAGTTATACGAATGCCAAAAAAAAAATCATCTTTTTGGTATAGTTTAGGCATGGTGCTACCCAACGGTGAAGTATGGAGTGGAACAACATCCCAAATTCCTCCCAGATCCAGACTTCAGTATCATCCTCTAGAACAAAACCAGAAAAGCCTTGGGGAGGCAAGAGGGTAGCCAGTTGCCTTGGTGCTTCCTGAGAAGTAGCACAGATGCCTTCTTCTTCCTGGAGGATGTTCTGTTCTCTGGGTCGAGCTCAGATGCGTGTCATGTTCCCGTTCAGCTGGCCTTTATGAATCCTTGGTCAAATCCCAAAGATGCTACCCATGTTTATTTTTCTGGAAGTTAAGTGTGCTAAGTAAAATGCTATCCTCCATACTTGGTGGGCATGGAACCATGAACAAAATGCCCAACTGTTAAAAGTGAAAATGCTATTAATTTTGGAAATAAGCACAAACGCCACCCAATAATTCTGTTTTTTAAAACAGTATCTGTATTCTCAACTCATTCTCAATAGCTTCTGGAGAAGTCATACCTCCTCTGGAAAAGCCTGAAGTCAAATGCTATTTAGTACAAAATTTAACTACCAGGGGTGGTTTGATTTCATTGTCCTGACCAAGAAGCACTGGGATTGATAATCGGGAGCTTCGAGAATATCCTGCGGAATAGGACCTGGAACAAATAGCGTGACTGTCTATCTTTCATTGTAAGTATTCTAAAGATGTTGGAGACTAAAGACAACATACACATACGCAGGCACACACTACCTACATTTCCCCTCCTCCCCCGTATGAATCAGTTGCAGCCAGAAATGTGAAGAGTGCACACCCTGACTTCAACTTTCTAAGCTCCCAATATCTGGTAGAGAGGTTGGGTTCTTACTAATATTTCATGTTCACTGTAATTGATTTTCACCTTGAATGCATTATGCATTTACAACTCTGGTCTGAAAATTTAATGCTTTGCCTTTATAAAATCTAGCTCAAAGCGACAGTCACATGAGCTGATCTGTGTTTGGTGTATCAACCATGAAAAACAGCATACAGCTGGTGTGGACGCAGCTGGTACGGGGTAGAAAATTCAGCCAATGCATGACCTCAGAATGCTTCAGATGTGCCCTCTCCAACAGAGCCACTCTGATAGTCCTAGGATAATTAGCCCTTTGGCATGAAAGGAAACCTTTGCTATCTGGTCCTTTCTTCTTCAGTGGTATCTTGGGACCCTTAACATTCTCTTTATTCTCTGCCATTAGTAGGGAGAAGTGACAACAGAGAGGCTGCGGCAGAGTGGAGGGGACAGGGAGGAGGCTGGGCTCCGCATCCTGTTTGTCTAGCTGCTTTTAGACCGTGCCCGTGTTTTTCTCACTTCTCTGCGCAGCCCTCGGATTTGGTGGCCTGGCTTGCTTCCTGCCCTCCCTGCTGCAGCTGGTGTCTCACCAACCACCAGCTTGTGGGCTTCGCTCTAATACGGTCCTGGGAAAGTCCTTCCCTGGAGCAGCGAGCCAGCCAGCTGGTGGGGTTCACTCTGCACTGGGGGAGAGACTAAATTTTATAAACACATAACCGAGGGCACCAGCGGGATGGCAGTGCTAGAATTAAGGGGCTCTGGCTCTGCTTTCCTGTTCACTCGAGGTCTCTGCGGAGACCTGAGTTGAGCAGAGGCTCTGGGCCAGATTCCCAGTGGCTGGCTTTGCCTCCCCTTGTTCAGAAGAGTTTCTTTCCCGGGAAAGCTAGGCGTAAGGCAGCCTCAGAAAGCGTGGCATGCAGATGTCCTTGCAGGCAGCGCATGAGTAATGTACAGGAGGCGAGCAATGGGCAACTGGGCCATCTAGTCTCTGCTATGGCCTGCCTGCGCTCACAGCCTGGAACCCAGATGAGAAGCTTACGAGCTGCAGAAGCAGCATCTTGGGTCACAGGCATGGATGCGGTGAGAGGGTTGTGATGTTCCCCGGCTGAGAGAAAGTGAGAGGAGAAATGTTCTCAGACATGGGCGTTTTCTCGGGGCCTCATCGGATGACACCCCTGCTATGCAGGTGAAGGGTCAGAGAAAATCCACGTGTGCTGTTTTCTCCCTGCTTTGGGGGTAATGCAGAAAGACACACATTACGATGCTGTAGGCTGGGCTGTGCTTACCGGGATCCCTAGGGCTTTAAGAATGTTCATCTTGCACATGGGACAGGTGCGATGGTCTAGAAGCCAAGGGTCAACACAGGACTTGTGGAAAAGATGCCTGCAATGAGAACCATACATCTTAGAGTGGCGGTAACTGCAGAGAACGACCTAGTCCACCACAGCCCAGAGACTTGTCCAAGGTCACTCGACTGCTCAGAAACAGAGCCAAGACCCAAACCTCCGTCTCCTAGCTCCGGGGCCAGTGAGCTTCCTCTTATACCCTGTGCTGACACAGTCAAATTTTGTCTGGATCCCAGGACTGTCCTCTGATTCACAACTGAGTGTTCCAAGTTTCAGAAAATGTAGAGAATGTAGGCACAGAGAGATTATTCTCTTTCTCAATAGGAAGAATGCTTAGCGGGGAAGAATGTAAGTGGGGAGGCCTGCACAGACCTTTGAGGATATAACTCGAGAGAGGCTACTTGCAAATAAACCCAGTTTCTTTCCTCCAGTCAGAAGACAACTGCAAAATAAAGGCCTGTTTCCATGAATATTTGGGCGCTCACACAGAAGGGCGGAAGCGCTCCTGGAAGCATTTAACGACACAGATGCCATTCTACGTTGTGATGGCCGCTGGCTGCTGAAGCAGAAGCCGGGGTGAACGGCCCTGTACCCTTTACTGTGTGTACAGCTGACGTGCTCAACGCCCCTGCCGCTCTCATGCACCGGGCCCGCGAGCCTTCCCTGCGTGCCAGCAGAAGCGGGGCGCTCAGGAGGGGCAGGAGGGGGGCCTCCTAACTGACCTTTCACTCAATGTGGCTCTCAGGGGCCCAAGAGATCATCAGGGGCTGCTGGAGTCAGAAGCTTTTCTTCTCACTCCCGACCACAGGCAGAAGCAGACAGAACTTCCTGCCTGGGGCAAGAAGAGAGGGAATGGTCGGCCTGAAGTATGAGGGCTTCGCAGGACATCCTGTCCACGCCTGACCTCGTCCTCGTGCGGCACTATTCCTGGAATACGTTTACTCTCTGTCTCTCACCTTTGCCTTCTTTTGTTCTAACAGTTCTAACCGTTTTCTTTGTGATAGGGGGCTTTCGGCTCAGATGCTTCAGAGGGACCCCTAAAGTAGGGAAGAGGGCGGGAAGGGCCAGCTTTTATTTTTTTTAATTTTTAAAAAATTTTTAAAGATTTTATTTATTTATTTGACAGAGAGAGACACAGCGAGAGAGGGAACACAAGCAGGGGGAGTGGGAGAGGGAGAAGCAGGCTTCCCGCTGAGCGGGGAGCCCGATGTAGGGTTCAATCCCAGGACCCTGGGATCATGACCTGAGCCAAAGGCAGACACTTAACGACTGAGCCACCCAGGTGCCCAAGGGCCAGCTTTTAAATGGAAATTGGGGAGAAACCCACGTGCTCAGGCTGGGGTTAGCTGTATGTATGCTGGATCGGATTAGACTGGCAATTGGAACAGGAGAGTAGCAACCTGCATGTGTCATCATGTTCCCAGATGATCGTCTGGAATGTCTGCAGATTTATTCCTTGGAAGCTACATATCACACTCACTCGTTCCTCTCTCCATACATTCATCCAACAAGTAATCAACGCCAAGGATCGGGCTCAACACTGGGAATCAGCATGGTAGTGATTTGGCTCCTTCCCTTCGGGAGTGCAACAGGAGGAGCAGATGTTAATAAAATAACAGAAATAAACGACTTAATGACAACAGTGCTAAGTACCACATTAGAAGAACACGGAGTTTGGGGAGGCTTCTAACTGGAAGATTCATCATCTCGTTGCAGTACTCAGGGAAGATCTTTCTGATCAAGTGCCAAAGCGAACACTCGAGGGCCACATGGATGGACATTTGTTATCCGCATGAAGGGGAGGGGAGAAGAAGGAGGGTGTTCTGGGCAGAATGATCGACTGGCACCAGAGCCCTAAGCTGGGCACTGGCAGAAGTGAGGGAGGGACTAAAGTGGAATGAACCCCCTCCCCCGAAGCAGTATGGACCTCCCTACGTTCAGGCTCTGCATTCAGGGAGCAAGCTCTGAATCCGAACTTGCTCACCAAATGGCGTTCCTTCCGGGAAAAATGTTGAACATCACGATCCTTCTGACTGCTCTGGGGAGGCAGCCTCTGCTGGGTCTCCCGCACACGTGCTGGCGTCAGGGAGGGCCAGTCAGCAGCTGTCTGAGCTTCAGTAAGTCTCTTACTATCCCCAAGCTTCAGGTACCCCATTTGTAAGCTGGAGATACACCTACTCATGCAGAGAGGTCTCCTCAGAGTCTCCAAGCCACAAAAGCTGGTAATTGTTCTCGAACAACCCGGGTCATTCCTCTCTATAGACTGGTCATTCTGACATCTCTGTGATGGTAAGTTTTGTGGGTCACCTTGGCTAGGCTATAGAGCCCAGGCATTCAATCAAACCCTAATCTAGGGGAATGTCATAGATCTGGTTAACATCTACAATCAGTTGACTTTAAACTTTAAATAAAGATTATTCTAAACAATCTAGGTGGGCCTTATCCAATCAGGTAAAGGCCATAAGAACAAAACTGAGGCAGAAATTCTGCCTCCAGTCGGCAGCATGAGATTCTGCTCGAGTTCCTAGCCTGTAGGCCTGCCCTACAGATTCCTGACTTGCCAGCCCTATAATCACGTAGCCAATTTCTTGAGAAATCAATGCCTTGAAAACTCTCTCATATATATATTATATATATGATATATACATATATATACATATGATATATAATATGGTGGGATACAGTGGGATTCTTTGGAGAACACTGACCAATATATCCTCCAATGAAAATATAAGGTCCATGAGAGCAAAATCCTCATTTGCCTAATCACTGTTGTATCCCCAGCCTCTAGAATAGTTCCTGGTTCTTGAGCGATGCTCAAGAAATATTTGCTATATGATTGGATACTTATCCAAAGAGCTGGTACTCCTCACTGCCTATGCATGCTCATCAAGCCACGTGGCCTCCTCCAAGCTAAATCTCTTCCACATGCTCTGCTTCCCTTCCATTCTCAATGCTTCTCCCTCACGTCTAATCTTGTTAATGGTCTTTATTATTAAAATAACATCTCAACTGCTCTCCATGCCACCAGCTTTTTCTGTTCTTTTCATCCCACTCATCCTTGCCAGATTTCTCTTCCTAAAATACAGTACTAGTTGCATCACCCCCTTGTTCCATTCTGTTCTGTGCTAGGAGTTGGGTACAAAGATGAATAAGACAAGGTCCCTCCACCAACATGCAGGAGCATAGTGCTTCAGTGGGTCCCTGTGAACAGCAAAAGAAAGGCCACTGAAGAGCCACACTCCTGGATCCACTGCTTTCTGGCTATTTGGTCTTGGGCAAGTCTTAACATCTCCAAGACTCAGTTGCTCACCTGTGAAATATTCTTCAAAGTATGGAGTTTGCAAGTGAATGAGTCCATGTGTATGCGTGTGTGTGTATGTGTGTGTGTGTGTGTGTGTGTTGGGGCAGGGGGATAAATAATGACCACAAAACTTAAAACATAACTCCTGGCCCTTCTTCATTGCAAGCTACCATTATTATTATTATTATTATTATTATTATTATTTATTTATTTTTTTTTTTTTAAGATTTTTATTTATTTGCGAGAGAGAGAATGAGAGACAGCATGAGAGGGAGGAGGGTCAGAGGCAGAAGCAGACTCCCTGCCGAGCAGGGAGCCCGATGCGGGACTCGATCCAGGGACTCCAGGATCATGACTTGAGCCGAAGGCAGTCGCTTAACCAACTGAGCCACCCAGGCGCCCGCTACCATTAATATTATTAATACCACTGTACTGCATCTTGTTTTTAGAATCTGTGTTATTACTCTGATTGTTACTCTTTAGAATATACTTTTAACATTTTAACAAGTAAAGGCAAATTTTAAAAAAATCAAAGGGAGGGGGCACCTGGGTGGCTCAGTTGGTTGGGCGTCTGCCTTCGGCTCAGGTCATGATCCCGGGGTCCTGGGATCAAGCCCTGCATCGGGCTCCCTGCTCGGCAGGAGTCTGCTTCTCACTTTCCTTCCCGCTCATTCTCTCTCTCGCTATCTCTCTCTCTCTCAAATAAATAAATAAAATCTTTAAAAAAGAAAATCAAAGGGAGAACTAGGGCAAAAACTACAAGTGCTAAAGTGACACATAGGGTGATCATGCTGATTATTAACTACCATTCATTTACTTCTAGCACCATATTTCTTGTGTGGACCATCAAATATGAAGACTATATAATTGGGATTGCAAAACAATTTTTTCCTCCCCAGTGGAAAGAAAAATAAAAGTTACTAGACTAAATAAATAAACAAAGAGATAGGGAAAGAATCCGGCCATGGACCAATGGTTGAGTAAACATCTCTACAACAAAGTCAATCTCAACTCATCCTGTTTGTACGATTCACAGCACAGCACTGTTCCTTCCCATGTTTTAACAAAGGCTGCGTGAGAAAGTCCATACTGAGGAACAATGGGACAAGACATTCTATCTCTTAACAATTCTGGCAAACTGGAAATACAACAGAGGACTGACCAAAACTCTGCTCCCTCTTTAGTCATCCAAGGGAAGCAAACGTTTAAGAAAAAGTTCTTCAAACACCTGACAAAAGATGATGCTGACAACTGCATAATGATGCTGAGCTGATTATGAGTAATAAGTCCTCACCTTTTTTTTTTTTTTTAGCAGTAATGAGCCCGCTAAGCTTGTTTTCTGTTGTCCTTTTGCCTGTATGTGTGATACTCTCTCCAGTTAAATGGCATTTTTTTTCTCCATCTGGAGGAAGAATGGAGCCCTTCTGGCCTTTCTATCTCATTCATTTTTGTAGGCTTTGTCAGACCCTGTCACCCTGACACTGACATTAAAATTCTGTGTCTTTCCTTTTAGCACCAATACAAGCTGTTTCATTCCCCTCAGCAAAATGGTTATCAAAGAACATGAGTCACTTGGGGACCCAGGCAACATTAACTATTTAAATCGGATATATCTAGTGCTTCTATGGGTAGTCAGCATATTTCTTCAGAACCTCAGAATCTTATCTGTAAAGTTGTCAATGAAGTCAGAGTTTTTAAATAAACACGAATTTAATTTAATTAATAAATATCTA